TATATATATATATATATAGGGACTGGTTGTGTAGAAAGAGAGAGAGAGAGAGGCGTATAGCGGGATGCGTCGCCTGGCTCTCATCAGCTGTAGAAGGCGAAGACCATTATTATCATTATCATCATCATCACTATTATTATTATTATTCTCTCGCCATCTACACACATCGCCGTGTTTGTTCTTCACAACGCCGAATAAACCTGGATACTCCGACGAGGATGCACTCGGGGCAAAAGACCCATTCCAGGCAGTGTCGGAATCACTGAAAAATCAACAACAACAACAACAACGAGAAAAAGAAAAAGAAGAAAAAGGCGAGAAACAGAACGCCCTACCAGATGAGATTGATCCAATCGCCTCAGCCGTCAATCGTCGACGGAATCGTCGCAAAAGAACTGTAGACTCCATATTTGGTGATGTCTTGCATGAGGCATTAAAACTCCGGGATATGGGCCAGAAACCAGATGCGGATTTTGTTTACAAACGAACACAGGAACGCATGTATGAAGAGGAGTATGGACATAAGCCCCCCAGTAGTAAAGATCACGCAGCGAAGTATATTCCATTTCCACCAGACTTATCTCTTAATCGTTTAATTCCATTAGAAGAAGTTGTTGGTGAAGATCCGTGGCCGGAACGCGCCATCACTCCAGCGAATCCCGTTTGGACTCAACAACAAGTAGAAGAAGACCGTGCAAAGAACGCCGGGATTAAATTAAAGGCGTGGGAAAAGAAAATGTTCGCCCCACGTGAGGGATTTGACCCGATTGGGGAATTCACAGATGCCATGGATGAATTGGCGTATTGGGAAGAACGGTTTGTTCGTTTTATTCGTGAGGCCCCATTACCGCAGCGACGCACACTGCCGCTTCTGCATGAAGTCTATCGATATATCACCCATCGACTCATTCGAGCAGAGCGGCGGTATTGCACTACTCGCGATATCACACTTGCGAAGACTCGCGCATCGCCCTCTGTGTATAAAATGACAGAAGAGAATATTGATCGTATTCGAGCCCTTTACGCAGAGACACATCGTTCTCTTTCAAGTCCCAATTATGATCCGGTGCGTATGCGGAAATCTGTAACGGGTCCTCTATTAAACATGAGTGAGGCAGAGTTTGAAGAGTGGCGTAATGTTAGAAAACATCAGAGGAATCGCCTTGTTTCAGAAATTGTGTAAACAGAGATGATGAGATAAGAAATTGTTGTCATTCGGAATGTGGGGATGGAGTGGTGTTGCGAATAATGGTCTGTGTATTTTTGTATCTGTACATCTCTGTGTGTATATGTGCGTTCTTCTTTTTATTATTATTATTATTATTATTATTGTTGTTCTTCGTTTTGTCTTTCACCTGAAGACAACAACAACAACAACAACAACAACAATAAAAAGAGTGATAGCCTCCGAAATATATATTTATATTGCTGGAATTCTTTTTTTTTTTTTTTAGTGTTATTGACTACATCTGTAATCACTCTTTCGTTTATAAATTGAGAACAATAATAACAATAATAAAAAAAGAGTAAATGCGGCGTGCTGCTTTGCTGCTGCTGCTGCCTCGCCCCACTGCCCCACTTCGATGTAAACACACATTAGCCCTGCGCCCCACACGAGTGCTGTGCATTCACCCGCAGTTGGTGCGGCTCCTCGTTGCCGGCGGTGTTCTCTTATTTCAGGCCTTCGCCGTGGCCCACAGTCAAGAGGCGCGAAAACTGCGGGAGGAGGCGGAGGGAACCTCCTCCCCCAACACAACCGTCGGCAGTAGTCATTCCACCATCATGTCTTCCGCAGAGGCTTTGCGGGTTCTTGGTTTAAACGCAGAGTTGGAGGTTCCATTGAAAAATGAAACAGATCGTCAAGAGGCCCATTGGCGATTTAAACGTCTCTTTGCCATAGCGAAGGAAAGTGATAATCTTTACCTGCAAGGGAAGTTCAGTGCCGCCTACAGATTGTGTGTGGATGCGGATTGGGATGCGGCGGGGGATCATACCACGTCGAAGGACCGTACGAATATCGATTCCTCAGGGTAAATAATAAATAGAAGGAACTTGACCCGTTGTTTCTATTTATTATTATTATTATTATTATTATTATTATTATTATTATTATTCATCAGTAGTCGATAATCATAAATAGTGAGAAAATTGTTTTCTTGGACGAACTCTTGTGGGGGTGGGATGGTTCTTTTTAAAATTGGTAAATGCTTCTTGATATAAATAAATTAGAAAATAGTGAAATAGTAAATACTTCTTTCTCTTCTTTTTTTTTTTTTGTTCGTTTTCATAAAGGAAAGAAAAACAAAAAAAAAAGACCAAATAAACAAAAAGAAAAAAAAAAAAAAAGCAAAGCTTAAACTATTCTTCTCTATGGAAGATCACTACAGCCCGGTGTCCAATTGTGAAAGTCAGGATGAACTGACTACGGCCATACACAAATACATGGACATCATGCGTTTTCACGATGTTGAGAACGTACTGGACAACAGTGATTTAGATGATGATCTTCAAAATTTGCTGGAAAACAAATCGAGAGCTGAATTGGAAAGTATAATTATTTCTCTTGTTAACGTACTTGAGATGGCGCGTAAATCCCTTCATATACTTCCAGTATTTCCCAAGACGATGCCTTTTCGTAGAGAAATTGAAGTATGGAGTTTAAGGACAACAACGTCTAGTATACAAAGTATGGAACACAGACCTGTTGTAGAGACATCCACAGTAATAAAAAGCATTGATGATGACGGTAACAAAGTTATCAATTCTTATTCTATTCTTTCACTTATTGGTCATGGTTCATATGGAAAAGTAAAGTTGGGAATCAATCATAAAACTGGGGAAAGAGTGGCTATTAAAATTATTCCCAAAAGAAAGGTTCGAATTGGAAGACCATCCTATGATAAATTTCTTGATAGTGAGATAGAAATAATGAAAAAGGTTCGACACCGTAACTGTATCTCTTTACTAGAGGTTATTAATGATCCTAAATCAGAATCACTTTATCTCATTATGGAATATGTAATGCATGGTCCTATTGCACGTGTTGAAGAATGGGATTTGAGTGAAAAGGGAGAATTAGAAAATTCTGAATTATTAAAAATGGTTGCGCGAAATGGTAAACTCATGGGTTGTGAACCATTAGCTCAATCAAAATGTCTTGTATATTTACGACAACTTCTCAGTGGATTACATTATCTACATAAACATAATGTAATACATCATGATATCAAACCGGATAACATTCTTTGTGATTGTAATAACCGTGTATGTATTTCAGATTTCGGTGTTAGTGAAATATTGCTGCAATCAACGGATAATAAGGAAAATCCATTGAAATCACATCTTGGTGGTGGTACACTTCTCTACACAGCCCCAGAAGTCTTTGAAGCCTCTTCCAATCACCCTTCCAATCCATTTTTCTTTGATGTCTGGACACTTGGTATTACTTTATATCTTATTCTGGTGGGAGTGGCCCCTTTTAATGGATGTACATATTATGAGATTATGAAGGAGGTTAAACACACGGAACTTCCATGGAATGGAAAGAACATTTACGGTACAGAGATTGACGCAGGATGGAAAACTCTTCTGGACGGTATGTTGGAAAAAGACCCTCAAAATCGATGGAGCCTGAAGAAGCTTAAACGATTTGTTGATAATGAAATGAAAAAGGAACAAAACAGTCCATTAATACATTTTGAGACCATAGAAAGCATTAATGAGCAGGAGAGTCCATTTGATCAAAACTCTTCTTTACGAAGGAGCATTGAGGGAGAAGAACAGGTGCGGTTATCACAGAGACGCCAAAGAGCTTTTACGATTACTCCAGTCGAACTAAAACATGATTTAGAGAATACAGTGCCTTCTAGGATAAGAGGGGGAAGTGATGATTTTGAATCTTTTTGTGCATGAAAATAAAAAACTAAAAAAAAAAAAAAAAACAGTTATTACTCTCTCTCTCTCTCTCTCTATGGGTTTAAATTGCTTGAGGAGGAGAAGGAGTGAGAAAAGGAAAGGAGGGAGAAGAGAACGGTATCTGTAAATGCCTTTTACGCATATAAATATATATATATATATATATATATATA